CAAAGCTGTCCGCCGACAATGGGATGGAAATGTAAATAAAATGAGCCAAAAGACGCCATTGGAAAGAAAATGTCTCTTACCAATCTAAAGTTAAGTGTTCAATTTTGGGAAGATCGTGTTTACTACAAACCTTGCATTAAAGGTGTTCCATGTTTCCTCCCACAGTTACACAGCAGCAGCTTAGATGGGCCTACTTAAACACTTTCAAGAATGGACAAGCCGCCACATGCACACATACAATTTGGCTCAAGTGTGTCATAACACTTCACTAGAAAATGTGCATGGACCATAGGTTACATGCCACAAATGAAGCACCAGGATTAACGTTTCTGATAGCAAGGTGCTCCTTTTTTTTTTTTTTACTACTGCTACTGTTTTGGTTTCTGCACACAAGTTAAATCCAGGAGACAGTATTAGCAAAAATTCCGTAATCCTCTAAGCTTTGAGCACACCTTTTTAGTGGTATCTTTTCTTAATTTATTTACTTTCTTGTTGGGAATTGTGAAAGCTTTTTTGCTCATTGCGTTCCCTTAAAAGTTTATTCATTAGCAATATCTGTTTTTCTCTCTGGGATGCAATCAAACCGGCACAGGAGGTTGACAGTGCTTGAACTGAGGTTTCAAAAACAACACCAGCTACCTCTCCAGCCTCAGGGGATGGACTTTTCCTGAATCCTGAATCCTGAGAATTGCTGCACATGGTGCACCCGACGCCTGAAACAGCAGAGCGGCGCAGACGCACCGTCAGCCTCCAAACCTAAGCCACAAATTATGTCTGGTACATGGAAAAGATCATGTGGCCCTGCAGCGGAGTAGGGGTGGTGAGAACGAGGAGTTTGGTGGTAACTGGGTTGGGATTGGACGGATACGATTTACATTCCTCTCCAGGGATGTGATATCAAGACAAGGTCAGACCAAGGCTAATACATAAGACTCTGAGGAAAGGGAGGAGGATTCTAATCTTTACTCAAAGTGACTATTTTATGTAGAATACAACACCAAATTTTATGTTAACTCTGCATGTTGTTCAATGTGATACAATCTGTCTTGTATTGCATTGATTATGTACATATTGCTAGATATCTTTCTTTGTCTCATTTATATGGAAATGCAGCAGATGCCTTGCATAAACTATTTGTCAAAATATATAGTGTAGCCTACACTGAAATGTTTTGAATGCATTTTAGGAGATTGTTCCTTTCAAGGAAATACCTCAAACTCCATCAACATCCCATAGCACATTCCATCTCATTTGAATAGTAGGTACACAGACTAACCTCAATGCCCAGAGGAACCTCATTGTAATTGCAAAGAAATGTAACACTGGAGGCTAACACTCTAATCTGAACTGAGTATTCTAGTCACACTTGGAGCTTTTCTACACCGTTACTTAAGGGTGACTTTCTCATTGGGATATGTGATACGACTATTTTCCGACAAATAATATTCACGTCTAAAATGCATTTTATTCATTTATACATGCATGTTAGCTTCCAAGGGAGAGTCTGAGAGGCAGAAAATGGTAAAGGAGGTAGTATCTCCAACAGCAGGGAAGGAAAAACTTTCTTGACAGCCTAAAGAGATTAGTGTCCATTACCAAACAAATTTCTGCTACCACCTACAACACTTATGACAGCCCTCAGTTCAACCCACATAGGAACCCTGTTAAAAAAACAAAACAACCCACACGCTTTTGTCCTCATGGCCATGTTCCCTCGACACCAGAATGAAACAAGCTCTGTTTTCTTGGTTGCCGGGTCTGAGAAGAGGGGCCGAGTGTGTTTTAAGAAGGGTGTGGGAATCAGTTATCCCACTCAAGAGACATGCAGGACCAGTGGGTATTGCTTGGGATTAGTGTCCATTCTTGTCATGTACTGACAAACCCTCCCGCTGATCTCCTTAAAACCAGGTGTTATTAAGGAGCAAGGCCCTTATTGGGGGCCTATAGGCTTTGAATAACTGCCCTTCAGGAATGACTGACAAGCTTATAATGTTAAAAAAAAATGCATTCCTGTGCTTTCATGCGCTCACCTGTGTGAATTCTAATGAATGATATTGAGCGTGAGTTCAAAGTGAAATCATGCACACAGCAAATTCATAAGTCTTGCAACATTAGCTGTGACTGCTTAGTATGTATCTATCGACTATCGTTTGTTCAGCATCAGTTCAGCAGCGTTTACTTTACATTTTAAATTTTAAAGGAATAGTTTGACATTTATGGAGCACTTATTTACTGGAGAGTGAAGAGTTAGATGAGAAGACAGATATCCACTCTCATATCTATTAAAATGAAGCCAAAGCCAACAGCTGGTTAGCTTAGCCTAGCACAAAGATTGGAAACATGGGAAGCATGAGAGTTGCCAGGCAGCAGAGACTTCAGTAAGTTACAAAATAGTCCGGCTCTTAACATAGCTTTACAGGTTACACATGCAGACACAGAATGATTTTAGATATTCTGATCTCTTCATTCAGAGTTGTCTGAACTCCAAACACATATTAATAACATATTGAACAAATAAAGTATAATTTGTTAATTGATGAGCTTAGAGCTGCTGGTAGATGGATAGCTGTTTGTTATGCTAAGCTAACTGGCTGTTGGCTATAGTCTCATATTCAACGGGCAGATATGACATTTCTATTAATCTGCTTATTTTACTGTACACCAGAAAGCGAATTAGCGTAGTTCCCAAAATGCCAAACTTTAGCCTTCCACAGTGCTGCAAGTCAACCTGTCACAGTCACTCATACTCATCAAATAACACACCATTGCAAAAGTTGAATAACTGGTGATCTGTTTACGGGAGATCCAATATCATGTGAAACATACAACTGTTATTATCAAGCTTGCTCACTTTAATCTCTAATTTATTTTGTTTACACACTGAAAGTAGAAACTTGGCACTGGGAAGCCACTTGGCCCATCTGTGGCTGTTTGTGATTTGCGGTGAACGGGCTGGATATTGTTTGAGATTGGGAATGAATAGACTTCATCCCAAATCCTGGCATGAGCGCTCCCCAGGTGTAGCTGAGAAAACCTGGACCCTTCCCAAGTTCAGATACCTCTCTCTCTTTACGTGCCAGAAATCAAGGTGTGTGCGGACACAAAAGATGTCAGGTGGTAGCTAAGCCACTGAAAGGTGTTTACACAGGAGTTAAGTAGGGTTGTCCCTGACTAAAGACCTTCTCAGCTGGCAAACGGTCTGTGGATATTATTTACAAATCAAGAGGTCAATTTAGACAAGAAATTGGAATATGGAGTCTTACTCATTATGGCTGTCATGCTTAAGATGAAACTTGTAAATATAGCTGTCATCATAGTGAAATGTTCCTGGGAATTTCTGTCATTTAAACATCTATTTTGAAATAATACATATAACATGGAAAAAAACAAATAACAAAAGAAAAAGAAAATAAATGAATAACAAAAGAATCTATTGCTGAATCATGTATGTATTTTACAAATATGTAACTTTCAAATACAAGCGAGTCAACAGTGTTTGCATGTTCGAGAAGGCTTTCTGTGACAATAACTAAATGTTTTGGTAATCTCCAAATCTTATGCAATCAAATGCGTAGGAAGAGTAAATATTTTTCAAGAGCAGGCCTGCCAAAGGGTTCAGGTTACTTGCCAGAATGATTGATAGTTTGCCAATTGATTTATGGTGCTCAATATGATATTTTGCAAAGTGATTAAAGGTTTCGTCTTCATCTCTTGTGAAATCGCCTACAGTTATATTTGCGGACAAATTTGCTCTCTTTGTGAACTGTGGATGAACTCACCTGAGTGTATATGGCTCAGGAGAACTGATCGCGGTGTCTCGCAAGAGGCAAGACCAGACTGATATTTAACTTCAACAGACAATCTTTAACCCAAAACCTACTAAGCATCCTTTTCTGCAGCATATGATCAATCAGCACAGACATGATGATATATGGGGCATATGGGTAAACAAGTTTATAATGCAAAGTCTATAACATTTTGAGAGAGTGAGTAAACCTTTCTACACAATGCAGCAGTGGTGGGAAAGTATTACTTAACTAAAAATAACAATGCTACAATGTAAAATACTCCATTAAATGTAAAATCCTACCTTTACAATCTTAAAAAAAACATCAGTGGGAATCTGAGCAAAATGCACTTAAAGTATCAAAAGTAAAAGGAGGCTACTTGTTATACAGAAAAATAACTCCAGTGAATTAATACATTTTAATGTTTTAGCTGAAGCAGGTGGCTCTAATTTTAACTTGTTAAGACAGTTGGACAGTTTAATGGATAACAAAATGTATCATATTTGATATGTTTCCTGTGTGTCTGCAAAGTAGTAACTCCAGCTGTCAGATAAATTAAGTACAGGAAAAAGTGCAGTATTTGCCTCTGAAAGTTTGTGAAGTAGAAGTGTAAAGCATAATATGCAAACATTCTGATATCTCAGAACTTCTAATTGAAAGTTCATTTTTAACCTTGGAAACAGCAGTTGACAAAATAGTCTACTTAGGCCTATAAAATTGTTCCAGTATATCTTTCAGCATCAGTTCAGAGCTTTCAGTCATATCACGGTCTTCCTCAGCAGAGTCGCCCTTGTGGTGAGATTGTTTTGTCATCTATGTCAAAACTGTACTTAAGTACAATAGTTAAGTAAAGTACTTATTTTTTATGTATGTACCTACAGCCAAAATGAGCTTCCATACACTCCCATATGGGCTGGTATTACTGTATTATCCTGCTTGTGCTGGATTATACAAATTCAGGGTTTTCCATTCTGGAAATAAACTGTCACTGACTGAAAGTAAACAAGTATTTTATCATATACAGGCCGGCTCAGACTGATCTCAGTCTGCACAAAAACTGGCGGTATGGTGCTTAAAACGCCCACTGAGGAGAAACTGCCATGCAAATCAAAACTAAGACAACTGAGAAGATTTATCTGCAGGAAACCTGAGAGTGAATTGTGAATCAGTCCAGTTCTCTGTTTGCATTGCCATACTACTCTCTCTCTTCTCTCTCTCTCTCTGCTGATGGGAGGAGCGCAGCGAAACTCCTCTCTGTATAAGAAGTGTTGAACGTTCAACAAGGGATTTTACACAGCTACTCAGGAGAAACGAAATGATCTGCCCTGGAGCCGCAGCAAAATGCTGGATGGACACCTACTCCTGGGATGGTTATCGTTCACAGTTATAGTATATCTTCTCAACTTGCCTGGACCAACCGCAGCATATTTCGGGTAAGGACTGACAGACATACAGTGTGTCCATGCTGCTGCTTTCATTGATTTGATTGGTTCCTGAAGTCCAGAGCAGGTAACAAGTTTTTCTCTCTCTTTTTTTCTCTATTTTAACTCACTGAAAACGTTCTTTCACATAGCCTAATACATCATTCAGCGAGTCTGCAACAAAATCAATGTCGTTCATTTCGTTTTTATGAGTTGTTTTGATTGCACTAATATCTGCGGGTCAGCGAGGTGTCATTTGGCGACGGTCGCGCAGCGCTCAGCGGCCTCACAGCTGGTGGCTGCTGCAGGTTGCTTGTACATGATCTGGACTCACTGAAGCTGCTGACAATTCATTTTTTTTGTGACAAGCAGGGTCACTGATTATCTTAGCAGGCAACTGGCCCGTAAACACAACATCTATTATAGGTAGATGCACGTAGCCCCGAAGTAATGTTGGCCGGGGAGAGTTCAACCCATTCTTTCCCTGACAATTGAGCCAGCGCCCACTGTAAAGTAACCCCTGGCAAGCTTGAATGGCAGGTAGCGGTCGAGTGATTATTTTGCTGAAACACTTGTAAAATCATATCCTTAGTCGACTCTGAAAACAGCCGCGGAGCGAAAGGTGAGTGTATATGCCTCAGACTCAACAGCTGGTAACAATAAAGCAATCTGACTGACTGAACTGGTGGCCGAAACGTCTGCTCAGCTTGCACAGAAAATTCCCCCATCCAGCATAAACATCACACAACTCTGGCAGGGTTTTTTTTTTTTTCTTCTTCTGCTGCCTCCATCAACTTTAAAAAACACTTGGAACACGTGTTAAAAAATCAATTTGAAAAATTGAGCATTTCATGAATCACCTCATACACACAATAATGTTTAATTTAGAAAGAGCACAAGGGTGTATATTTCAAAGTAAGTCATTCCCAGGGAACGCCTTGGATTTTAGGTGTATCCCTCTATGACCTCCAATTCAGAGTGGCTACTAATGCACCGAACTCCGGTTTGTCTGCTCACATGAACTGCACTCTTGGTTTTCTTTTCGGTCTTAGTCACAGAAGAACTTACCCTGCAGGGAAACCAAGATCATTCAAATGAGGTCAGCATGTAAGGTGGGAGAGCAGCCATGTTTCACCTGGAAATGAAGAGTTTTTACCCCCAACCCCCCCCAAAAAACCCAAAGTGACACCTAATCTATGGATTGACAAAACAAAATGTACCTTTTTAAAAAACCATCACGGTGGCATCTCATCTCAAGATCTTGGTGATTTTCCGGAGTAGGCCTATCTACAAATATCTGTGTTGATGGGTGTTATTAGTGCACCCCTTGGCTGCAAACATTGCAGACGAGCACAGAGACAAATGGCTGTAGACTGTGGAGTGATGACACTTGAAACCTTTCCAGCAGAGTCAAATTTATGGTAGGTATGGGTGTTGTGCAGGATCCAGGAGTGTTTGGTGATCTGGGAACTGTTGTGAATCTGCAAGAGAGCACAGGAAGTGTCCCCTAAGGGCCCATTAGACTGGTGTGTTGGACCTGTCGACCTGTTGTAGTGGGTTTAAGCCTTATAGGCTATCCTTAATAAGGTATGCTGATATGAAAATCTTATGAAAAGTTGAAAAACTGTGGGAAAAGTATAAAAGGAAGAGCAACTTTGGGAGTTCTGAATCATTTTCTGGATACCAAACTCTCTGAAGTAACCTGATTATTGTAATTAACACTGTTTTACACGTCTCTGTAAATGTTGTTCTCTTGGGTGTTGTTCTCACCAGAGTGTTGGCACTCATCTGGGGTGATGCAAACAGGCTGAATAGCACCTGCAATAGCTCTGTATGATGGAAACATCGCAGCCCTTCTCAGGAAAATGTCATCTGTAATGCTCGTGCACGCATCTGTACTTTCTGTCTTTGGTTTCAGCTCTAAAGTTGCATTAGAAGGACAAATGTAACCCCGCTCTCTGTCTAACTCCCTGTAGCAGTGTCGCCCTTGGCAGGCAGTATTAAGGTTGATGTGCCAAATTGGCACTCACATCAGCCTTAATGGTCCTAATGGTAATGCATATTTACTTATTCAGTTAGCACTTGTTTTCAATTCCCTCTGTCAGTCTGTTCTCTATCTGTGGCCTGTGTAGTGCAGAGAGACATGTGGTATTACGATACTTCAGATTTATTATTCCGTGGCTCGGTGAGGAAGGAATATGAATGAGCGTCAGTGAATGATTTGGCCCTGCAGCTGAGGAACATGAAACATACTGAAAGAGCCTGCGCAGGGGACACAGATACAAAATGTGACTGCCCCGTGGCCAACTTCCCAGAAACTCAACACCGGTGACACTCCAGCAGAGTCCTGCTCTGGTTTGACTGTGGGACATACTAACACAAACCTGTTCAAACAAATATTCCATGAACATGAGGCATCCTAGGGCCCCTTGAGTACTGATTTACTCAAAATACAGGGTCAATGTTGCATACCCAATTTCCAGAGTGCGGTGGAGCGTAAGTGTAACATAAACACAATCTCTCCTGCCCATAGTCTGCGCAGCCGAGGGTGGGGTGGGATTCCTGGCGTAGTCAAGCACCCGCTTAAATTGTCATCCTTTGCCACAAGAATGTGAGCACTCATTTTCTTTCCCTCAGCCTGTTGTGGCAGGTGCTGGTTCTGCTAAATCCGTTATCATTAGAGTTTGAATCGGAGATGGTCACTGAGCTTTCCTTACTTGAATTAATAGGTTACAGCACCTTGATGAGATATTGTGTAAACTGTCAGAGAAGGAAGTGATTTGTTTGCTCAGTCGACCCTGTCAGGGCTCCGAGTGCTCTCTGAGACGACTCTCTTGGTTTTAAATTTGAGTTTTGGTAAAAGGCATGTCATTCTGTGGTCTTATAAACTGTGCTGAATGTGAGTCCTAACACTGAGTCAAGAGTTTGTTTTTATTTAGTTCATGTGCGACACATACAGGAAGGCTGCCCACAGTCATGCAACTGAGATTTACCAATCACCGAGGCACCGCAGCATCCGGAAGAAGCAAATATAGTGGTTGCTATTGCTTGCTGTTTAATCACAGCAATATCCTTAAGCACTCTATCACCAGCTTGTTCCTGAAGCAGAGCTGATGCCCTTTCAGTTGGTATCATTGTTTTCCGCGCTCCATTAAGTGAGGCAGAGTGCCAAAAACAACAGGATAACAAATGGGATGTGTGTAAATTTACTGAGGAGTGCTTTTTCAGTTTGCAGCTGTAAAAGGTTTTAATCACTGTGCTGAATTAGTTCCTGGTGTGTATCAAACAGCAGCGCGTTTAACAGTTTAAAAGAGGCTCATGTCTTTCGCACTGCACAGAAATGTTACAAGTTGTTTTTTAAGCGGCTCATTGTAAACATTTCTTTTGGTCCCCTGCTCTTTCTCTCCTCCTGTCTGCTGGTTTGCCTGCCTCATGTGCGTGCCGGCATCCCACCAGTGGTTTGTGGGGAGCTGCTGGGTGATTACCACTCATTAGGAGCAGCAGAGTTAGTGTGGGCTCAGGCTGGCAGACAGTGGTGGCGGGCGTCTCATTACCAGGCCTTAAGGACTGATTAGCCCCTGACATGCAGCAGGGTGGAGAGCACCGTTGATAGAGGGATTTCCCAACTTCATAGGATATCCTGTGGCTATAACCACACCTCAAAGGGTATCACTTTACTTTGAGCCAAGAAGATAGGATTCTCTCAGCACTGGTGCTGTGACCGAGTGGCGTGGTGAGATCACGCAAACCTGGAGGCTTAGATAACAGACCGCATGGCCTTTTGAAAAGAGAGCTTTGTTTTCTTTATATTTCTGTTTGATACATCCGGATTTTGAACTAAGCTGTGCTTTGCTTTGAGTGTTCTGTTCTCAAACATCCTTGTGGAAAGGCCTGCTATGCCTGTGGATGCCACAGGGTGGTGCAGCGCCTTCTGAGAGTGAAGAATGGTCCTCAATCAGCACTTTGTAACCTATTTGTGTAACAGTAGGAGAGTGGGAAATTAAATGTGAAAATGTAAAAGCAGCCAAGTCTGTGTCAAAATTATTTAGGAAATGGGGGCAAAAAAAGTTCTACGTGTGCTTAGCAGTGGTCATCTTGCATGACACGTGTGAAGTGTCTTTCAACTTCAGCTTACAGAGCAAAAAATCCTGCCTCTGCACAGAATATCATGTCTTTTCTAAACTATGTAATGCCCAGTGTTACTGTTTATTTTACAGGTTGAATCATCAAAAATGGCAGATTGGTACACATCTTGTTATGAAGGTTTCAGTGAGGTCTGTAGTGGGTTGTAATGGGGTTCACACTGTGTAACAACATGTTTTTCTCTGAATATTTCTGAATATTACATGGTTTGGTAAGGCTTTTTGTTTGGCCTGCTCACATCCTAAGGAATTAGAGTTCTGGTGTCATCAGAAAGCCAGAGAGACCGCAGCTAAGACATATTTGATTTTTAAAACGACTGTCCCACCAGTCAGCTGTGCACTTCACTGGTGGATAGTCAGAAGATATGGGAGGGAAACTCCCGTTGAAGGAAACTCTTGTTGGTAAAACTGTGCATGGATGATGATCTTTGCAGATGGAGCTGGAGACATGGGCAATTTGCAAAACAGGAACACTAATATAGACTCAAGATACTTTTAGTGGTCAGGCATTGATGAGATGATGCTAGTTAGTGCGACCGCTATGTCCTGTGTTTTCCATCCTTGACCACAGGCGTTTTCTCTGCCTGGTTTGTGGGGATAGAAGAGACATGGCACTTCACGTGTGCCAAGATTAGTAGATTGACAAACCCTCACTTTAGGCTTTGGTCTTCTAGAGAATATCAGTGCATTTCTCACATCTAACTTTTGGGTGTTTTGGGTTTTTTTCCCATCAATTTTCCCGTTTCTGTCTTTCTGCAGCAGCTAACATAAAATCTTGTTTTTTATCTCATGTGCCTGTTTACAAAGATTTATCATTTCATAAAGGATCAAAGAAAGCTGACCAAACCTTTTCAAAACTGCAATATTTGA